GCAGCTTACCCGTAAAAAACTTTGACGGGGTCTTACGTGGGTAACACGCGGGAAGGACCGCCCATTCTGGGGATGGGGACCCGTACGGGCATGTAAATTAAGTCCCCAAAGTTTCAGCCCCGTAGCTTCTGCCGGTCTCGAGATGAGAAATCGGTACAGAGGCCCAGCGCACACACAGACACACACAAACACACACAGAGACAACCTCTCGTCAATATGCGTTTTTCGCATTGCATTGCTGCAAGAAACGCATAAAAAGAGAAAAATGGAGAAGTTGCCAGCTGCACCTTCGCTGAGGCAACGAAACGCGACGATGAAACAATAAAACATAATAAAAATGCTATTAACGAACTCAAATACCTCCGTACCCACGACAACTGTTTGCGATTAGCATAAATCTGAGAACTATTCTTTCATGTTTTTGCTATTCTTTTTCATATTTTTGCCGGTTATGACAAGAAGATATTCAATTTTAGAAAAAACAAGGGGAAAAATGCAAAAAAAAAAAAAAAACAGTGCATGAATACAAAATCTTATCACTACCACAATGTTGTTTATTTCTTAACAGGTAATAAAATTTTAAAGCGCATACCTTATCAAGTTCATTGACAATATTGATATCGATCTGTTTCATTTGCTCATCCAAATCCGGCACACACTGCAACTCCATTAGCCTTTGCTGACGATCGTTGTAAAGCTGCCTGAACACACAAAAAATGCCCTTCATTTGACCAATAATATTAAATTAACTAAGTAAGAACCAGAAACAGTCGTTGACGAAAATACGAAACAGCGATATCTACAATTACCCCACATCTTGCTAGCCTTTCCACGTGTAAATCCGAGAAACTGAAGTGTTTGGACGTGATGTGAACAAATTTTGAATGGCCAATTTTAGAGCGTTAGACCTAAGAATGTGCCAAAAAAGCTCTTGCAAAAAAGCAGCCAAAACAGACATATGTCACGAAAAAAACAACTACATAGCCCAAAAATCGCTTTTTTTAGATTGCAAAAACATTTTTGGACAATTTAAGCGGCGGTTCGTGGTCGTTCACAACGGATTCCCAGGTATTCAGAATAGATTTCTGAAACCTAAAATAACTTTATTAGACCCAAAAAGGTTTTTTGGCGGGGATTCCTCGAACGTCCTGTGATCCACACGAATCGAAAATTAGTACTTAGATATTTGAAAGGAGTTTCCCAAGAACTAAAATAAATATCTGACAGTTTGCTGATCGAACAAATCTTCACGCAGAGCGGATTCCCACAGATAAAAAATAGATTACCGCTGTCACTGTTCCTAGATC